ATAATCATTTTATTATTACTATTACTATCTTCATTTTACAGCGGGGGGCAAAAAAGCCCAGAGAGTAAATTAATGTGCCTTGAGTCACACAAGTAATAAACGATGGAAAAAAAATTAAGCATTCATTGCCAAACAACAAAGTTTTAAACTAAGAACTCATTCATTGTTTTTATATGCTTCAAAGGAATATGAAACCCTAGAAATATGTCTAAGGAGTTGTCTAAAAAGAAATGCTTTTATCTAAGCATCTTTGCCTTTCATTTGAGAAAACTGAGGCATAGAGAAAAATGTATCATGTCCAAGGTATAGTGTAGGATAAGAGCTACTACTGGTCCTGTTATTTCTTAAATAAGGAATATTGCTGCTTAAAAAAATATAAGTTATTGAACTAGGTAATTATCTAAAAGATTTCATTCAGTTCTACAACCCATGTTTCAACCTGGCAACAGAATTACCTATCATAAAAAAGAAACAATTCTGCTACCTTATGGTTGAATTAAAGTACCTTGCAGCAAATACTTGATGTAATCATAATGTAGAATAGTTTTTAAGATGGTCTTAGATTTCAAGGAAGAAAGGTAAAAGTCTTTTCACCCTTTGAAATGACATTTGTATTAGAAAGAATCCTCTGTGACTTTTTCAGACAGTGGTGTAAGACCTACTAATGACTCACACGTGGCAGTTTGTAAAAGCTGAAAGTAACTAAAATAAAAAATTCCTAACTCTTTTGTAAATGGCAAGGGTTAAGTATTCCCTCATGAAACCTATCTGCTTACATAGTTGTGCAATCATGATGCACAATGTATTTCCTAGTATGAGTCTCAAAATAAATGGAAAGCTACTATGCCACAGTGCCAACACACATTTCATATGTAATATATCTGACACGGAAGTTATTGAATTACATTTTGATGACTGATGTTTCCAGAATCTATAGCTAAAATATATCATTTTTTGTAATTATATTAAAATTACTGATGTACTGAGGAGCCAACTCTACTATGCATGCAAAGAAATTCTAGGAATGCAGCTTTATCAACAGTTTCCCAATGAAACATAGATATAAAACTATTTGTGATGAAACAAATACAATTTTTAAAGAAAGTACAGGAAAGTGGTCAGGGCTCTATGGAGAAATGATGATTCTAAGCCTGGGCCAAAAAATACAAAATGAACAAGGAATGTCCTATCGTGTTAAAGAGCAAAAAAGCCATCAAAGATTAGATGGCACCAAAAGGATGCAGGAATTGACTTGAATGATTTCCACTGGTAAAGACAGGAAAATTTGGGCATCAAAAAAACAAAAACCAAAAAACCACATTTTTCACTTCCAAGGTTGCTAGGATATCAAATTGTTGTAATCTAAATTTGGTAAATGCAAGAATCAAGTTATTTTTCCTACCTTTCCTCTGCCAATTTTATTGCAGTTGTAACCAGAGAGTTTATGACGGAAAGCTCCTTCCAAAAATGCCAGTTTAGAAAGAAAATGCATGACAAAATTAGGATGTCATCAAATTATAAGCCTCAATGAAATCATAAATGATCAGCAATGGCTACCAAAAGCATTAGATAAAATATTGATAGGAAGCTTTGTAATAGATAGATCAGGCTGGCAACACCTGAACCCAAAAGTGGGACAAGGCTTCCTAAGGGGTGACAGTAGAAAATACATCTAATAACATGAAATATTATTACCCTAAAAGGGAATCTAAATCTAATCAGCCCTTCAGATCTCCTACTAGATTACAGGAAATATAGGAGCCAGAAAAATGTTTATGAAAGACCACAAAGATGCAATCAACTAGATCAAAAATAGGGGAAATTCTAAAAGACCTGTTTTCTTCCATAAATAATAGCAAGAAAAATGTGAACAAATTATAATAGATTAAAGCAACCTTAAACTAAGTTAAATGTAATATTCTAGGCCTTATTTGGATTCTGATTATGACTTGAACAAACAAATCACAAATGGACTATTACAAAACTTGCAGCAATCCAAATATAGACTAGCCATTAGATTATATTAAGGGCTTATTTTTTATTTTGTTATGACTGATAATGATAATGAACGTTTGTTAAAAGGTGATAAAAATTTTAAGACTCTATGAGAATAAAGCCTGGTGTGTGTACACACACACATGCACACACAGTTAGTAAACATTAGTTACTAAAGTAGCAAATACTTTCACATATGCACAAATCCTTTTCAAGAAAATCTTTTCATATTTCCAGATATTGGAATTCTAAAACACTCTGTTACCTGACTTTCTACCTTCAAAGGAAGACATTAAAAGTATCTCAAATGGGAAAATGTCAGACAACCAAGTTTTCTTTCTGCTTCCAGATGTTTTTCCATTTAAAATGCAAACATATACTACTCCACATACAAAACTTTGAAAAATCACAAACATAATTATATCACCATAAATGTCGTGATTAGAAAACTTACAAAACAGCACAACTGAAGAGCAAGCATGCTTCATGGTTCTCTTCCTGAAGCGCTGAATTTACTTTCCTTCCTGTAGCTTTACTTATGGATGTCTTAAGTTTCTCAGCTAGCTTTTTTGGTGCGTTGGTTATGGAAGACTCTTCTGTACAGCAACTATATACTTCTACCTTTATCTGAAAGTCTGGCCCTGCTTCATTACTAAAAAGAAGAGCATTTATAGTATTAGAAATTTAACTCAATAGAAAATAAAGTTACAAACATCCTTTGTTTTCATAATATTCAAAACCAGCATTCAAAATATACATAATGAGACAAGTTCTCTGTGCTTACATAACATCTACATAGCCTAATACAGTCACTACAACTTTCAGAGCTATCAACTTCTATACAAGAGCAACCTCAACTCAAAACAAAGTATATAGGCCTATTACTTAAAGAGAAAGAATAAAATACTCTGGTCATTTTGTTGCCAGTGCTATTTTTTCTTTTCAGTCCTTTAGTGCCACTACTTTTAAGGTATTTCCATCTATGTGTAGTTTCCTGAAATGACTATTCCTCCAAAATGAAATCTATTGAAACTTTAGTTTTTATTTCTTCTTCAGTCAATGGTCTAATCACCACTGTCATCTCCATTACACTTTTACACATAATAACTATAAACATTTCCTTTTTTGGGTATAAAGTGCCCCCCCTCAAAAAAAAGGAGAGAGAAAGATACTCAAAGCATGAACTCCAAGGGCAAGTGTGTCTAGGTGTTCTCTTTATTAATATAGCATGGGGCCCTGAACTAGGAGGGGCTCAATACATACTTTTTAGGCCTGTATGTACAAATTTTGCAGTTTTCGTAAATGCTAAAATTGGCTTTTCCCTTTTTCAATACAATGAAGTACCTTGAACACAAAACTGGTGGTGCTACTAATGATAAAATATTCTTAAGATGGTATCCATCGGCAACAGATGTTGCCTGCAGATGGAAGATCCATCAGCTTCAGAGATTTTAAAGTCAGCATAGGTTTTTAAAGATTTATACAGCCTATCTATAGTTTGGATAAATCTAAGGAATAACTTCCAGATATTTTTAAAATTCATTATTTGGCAGCTTTTTAAAATACAGTATTCCTATAATGACTAACAAATGTCAATATTGAGGGAAAAAACAGATTCATAAATATTGAATACTTATTCAAAAAATCACCATAATAAAAAGCACATTTTTAACATTTAGAACATTTGTCAGCAGTTATTTTTAGAACAATTTTAAATATTTACAGAATTTTTTAAAAAACAGTAAATCATGTGTTGCCTTCCTGAGTAATCTGTATTGTTCTTTCCTTGAAGAAACAGTCTGATTTTTGTCTTTGTGGTAAAAACAAACAATAGCAAAGTGATGTGAAGAAAAGAGCCCATTAACAGGATAATTTTGGCAGAAAAAAAATCATTAGTAGTAGTTGTTAATAAATCTATTAGGATAACTGTGGAAAAAAATTTAGTTTGAATTATACAAGCATTCAGGGATTTTTTTGAGGAAGAACCCTAAATAAAGTCCTTTTGGTTAATACAGTTGTAAGAAGGCCTGAATTACTGCTAATAACCCAGGACAATATATTTTGTTTTTCTGCACTATACAATTACTACAGGACATTGTACCAAAAGCCACCAAATACATTTTTCTATAGTCTTTTCAGTGCCGTATGAACATAAATCTAGTCCTCTGAAATCTCAACTGAAGTTCCATAGCTAAAAATGGCAAAAAACACATATTTGATTTTATCTTAACAGTTCAGTGGCTATTAACATTCAGATATGAAGATAGTGTCTTTGGAAGCCTGAAACAAACAAATCCCACAATGATTTAGGCCAATAGAACCTTTGAGAAAGACCAGGAATGAATATTTAAAAATGATTTCTATGGCTACCTGAGGAGTTCCTTCTGGTTCTCTATTATGACCACAATAAAATAGGCCTGTAAAAAAGCAGGGGCAATAAAAACAGCCCCGAGGATTACCCACCTTTTTTTTTTTTTTTTTATTGTTTTGGAGTACATGAAAGTGCACCATAAGAAAAAGAACACCCCAAAATTTTACCAAAGTATTTTGCTATGAGACATACTTCAGGACTATCTTATAAATAAAAGTGTTTTACTATTTTTTTTCTGTAAGTAACTCTTATATATAAGGTAGAAGAATCTGTTTTATACCCAAATTCACTCTAAATCAAACAATGTCAAATGAAACTCTATTATATTCATAGCTTAGTTAACAATGGAACTACATAAGAATTTATTTTAAAAAGTTATCATATCCAACGGGTCAAATGTTTGTTAATATTAATTACGAGATTTCCATTTTATTTTACAACAGAAAATGGCAGATGAAGAAATGGCTTTCTTGTGAACAAAGAAATTTTCAAAATCATTTTAAACATTAAAAGCTCTTAATGCTTCAGAATTCAAGGGCCTAATATTTAGGCATAAGAATCTAAAGACACAATGATTAAGCCTTTCAAAAATTAGAATGCTAGATTATTTTCATTCTCTAAAAATTAAAGATACTTACAATATGGTTACGTTTTCAAAACATATATCTGTGATTGTTTTATCCACAATAACCATGTCAGTATCAAAAACTTTAGATCCCATTTTGAATAAACAAAAAATGGCATAGCGCTGTGATCCTAGAGAAAAAAAGGCAACATTTTAAACAACACATATGATCAATTATGCCTCCCATTACTTAAAATCACCCTAAAAGGGAAAAATATTAGCTCCAATATTTGTGAATAAATTCATATTTTCACACATTGAATATGGTGACCTATGACACTTTATAATGGCTATTCTGTCAGTATTCAGTAATACTTTACACAACTAGAACATAAACTCAAGGCAGGGAATATCAAAAAATAAAATTAAATATACAGGACTCTTAGCAGCCCAAAGAAATCACCAAAGTCCTAAGGTTTATTCCTGAAAAACTCTTTAAGCCTTAATTAATGGTGAATTTTGTGTGTGTGTGTGTGTGTGTGTGTGTGTGTGTGTGTGTATTATTACCTCTGTCATTTTGGCTCCCAAGTCTATTGAAGAAAAAGATGTTTTTTATTAGAAGAGTTTAAGAGTAGGCAAATTAACAACCACAAAACATTTTCCACTAAACTAAAAGCAAGGGAGGAAACCATGTACATGTACACACACACACACACACACACACACACTCAATAAAAAGAAGACATAGAAACACAAAAACAAAGCTGCTGATGTTTTAAAAAAAAATTAGGTGATTAAAAGACTAAATCCTCATTATAAAGAAAATGTAGCTCTTTAGAAAAACTTATTCTCTCTAGTAATCAGAAAGATTTACTTAATTCCCATATGCATTCCTTTGTAAAGTAAATTATATTTCCTAATTGAATAACAAATACTAACCTGATTTTAAATTCTTCATATAAAACTAATTATGCTCAATACAATTCCATTTTTTAAAGTATGAGGAACAAAGCTATCACAATAGACAAGAAAAACAAAGGAGTATATCTTTTTCCAGTGTGTCTCTAACAGGTACAAATCATTTGAGGTTAATTTCCATGACCTAAACAATCCATAAATTTGTGAAGAGTATAAAACTATAAAATGGTGAAGAAAAATAAAATCAGATCAAGCTAAAAATCTTTTATTACATCTGTTAAACAATCTGCAGTAACAAAATGAGACAAAAAAAGACCTTCCAGATTCTGGTCAAACAGAAGAAATGCTGCCTTTATTCCTTAACCATGTTCTTTTGTTCCCCCTTTCCTCCCCCTCTCCTCACTCTGAGCCTATTACTTTGTGTCCTGGCTCAGGTTCCTATCAACAACATAAGGTACACTTAGCATGCATTATCTCAATCAGTATGAAGCACTGCAACTTACTTATACCCAAACTCAAAAGCAACAGTTCTGCAACACTCTGCTTATTCTGTCAATGGATTTCAGTATGGAGGATTTTTTCCCTCAATAATCACAAGTTCCCTATACACTAAAGAAAGCATTTCAACTACAAATTAAAACGATACATACGTTCTTTATTGCTGAAGTGATCAGAGTCCTTCCACATTAGTGGTATTCGAATATCTACAAAGGAGGGAAAAAAATGACAAGGAATTATTTTGCGAAGTTTTATTTCATATATCATACAACTTCTGAATTCCATAACAGATTTTGACCAAAGCCAAAATACAAATGATACATTTTCTAGTTATTATGATTTGTATTTTTAAAAGTTATTTAATACATGTGAAATTGTGGGGTATGTGAGGTAAAAATTATTCTTAAAAAATTGTTCTAGTCCACATATACCTCCTTCTCTTCTTCATTGATTTACAATGCCATCTCCACCAGATATGTCAGAGTAAGTGTTCCTTGGCTATGCATCTTATGGACTGAATTGACTCATTCATCAATCACTATGTATCCTAATGCCAACACCACAGTATTATAAACTGTTGTACTTGTGTAATACAATTTAGTGTCAGAAATGTTTTCTTTTGAAAGCATCTTACTGTAATTTCTTTATATGAATTTTAGAACTATTTTGCCTCCCCCAAATGTCTTATTAGTACTAGATTCTATTATCCAAATTGACTTAAGAAATAACTTTTTAACAATCTGTCTTTACATAGAACAAACCCAGGGCTTCGTACGTGGTAGATGAGTTTTACCAATGAACTACACTCCCTGCTCTAACTTACACTTTAATTAAGGTCATTCTAAGGTATTTAATGTTTTCTATTATGTTGTAGATTTTTTCCTTTATACTCACTAGCTAGTTATTGCTTGTTTTAAGAGTTACTTATCTTAAATCCAGCCACATTTTACTTGATTCTTTATTAATTCAAACAGTGCTTTAGGAAATTTCCTTAGCTTTTATAGGTCTGAAATCCATTATCTTCAAATAGCATCCTATTTGTCTATTTATTTTCAATAATTTCATCCATTATTTTGCTAGAATTTCCAAAACAGTATTATATGATATTGACATAACAGACATCATTATTTTGCTCTTGATTTTAATGGAATGCTTTTACTGTTTTATAATTACGACTCTGCTGATGTCCTGTCAGAGCCCACTTCTTGCTTGACCACAGTTGCTGACTCATTTCATTTCACAACTGTTCTTGTTCACAGCTGTTCTTGCTCTGCTAGGCTAGTTTTAACTATTTATACCACACTGGGAGAAGCATGGACTTTCTTTGCAGTTTAGCCTGTGGGTCACCTTTATCCCTTCTTATAACTGCGCTGACATTTAATGGTAAACTGAGAGAGCTATAACAGCACAGTTAACTTGATGCTATTAGGTCCTAGAACACTAGTTACCATTTTCAAAAGTAAAAACTTATTGAGGCAGGAGGTTATCTGATTTCATTTAGTCACTGAGTTAGTACTCAGTGAAAAGGCTAAGACAATTTCCACAATGCCAGTATTTGGTGTTTGACAGAAAGAATCAGGATAAATCTGCTATTATTTTAGTATTTATAAAGATCTAGTTAGTGAGTAGTGAAGCCAGAAACAGAAAATCCAGTTCTCTCCTGGATATCAAGGTAATCTTAGAAACATTATATTTTATTGCAAATACTCATTTTGGCATAAATGAAAGACACATTTTCATCCTGTCAAAAGAAAATAGATTTATAAAGGTGAATTCATTTTTCAATTTTCTTTGTTTTTATATATACACAAACAAGACATAATTAAGTCCAGGCAAAGAAGAAAATAAATTACATCCCATCTTCTGAGAGTTTCAGTTCCTTAATTTAACACATGCAGAAGTAAGTTCAGTTTTTATATGTGAGTATTTATGGTCATGAAAATTTTTCTTTTAAATGCTTTTACCTTCTAAAAGTACAGTTAATTCTTCATCAGGAATTGTGGCAATAAACAAACCATTTTGAAATGACAATGTTGACTATTATAGAATCTGAGTGTTCGGTAGCTCTTTAGCATACATCATTTATGTACTGAATGGTGTCATATTAAAGCAAGAAAAGGAGGATTGTTTTTAAGCATTTATTTAAAATCCCCCTTTTAAGTTCTACAATATCTTATTTATTAATGCTAAAATATACTTAAACATCATGAGCATAAATATACTATATATATACTACATAAATATACTATGTTTGGCTTAAAAATGTAAGGCAATATAAAACATTTTATGTCAGTCTTATAATTAGAAAGATGAAAACAGAATGTAAATACCTATAAAACATGCAACAGACATTTAGGCAATTCAGTTCTTTTCTGAAGAACTTTTCGCTTAGCTGAGGGAAATTTCTCTGATTTTAGCCAATGATGTTTTAAATAAAATGCAGGTCTTTCCTTCCTGTGTGGTCATTTTTGTTTAGCCATAAAGTGAGTGAAGGTGGAAATGGAAAGCAGCTCTTGAGTGTCAGGACCAGAAACATCATAGCAGGCTCTCTAATACAAGGCTTTTGGCCAGTGGAATAAGCTAGTTATTACTTAAAGACTGATGGAGGTACAAATTGTTGCTTCCAATAGGTACTGATGATACAATATTTGTAAAAGTGCATTTCCTTAATAGTGTACACATGAGTCAGCTGCATCTGACTTTGTGGCATCTCCAAGCCATTGTCTAGCTTCCTTAACACTTTGGAGAAACTGAGACTACACAGCGTAAGTGCCATCTAGTGGAGAAGGGTCTCCTAACTGTGTTAGTAATTCAGAGACAGGAAACATTTCTAGTTAGAATGATAACGGGAGGGTTTATAGATGAGCAAACAGATCTTGGAGAAAATATAGTTACTTCACAAGTTAATTAGGTGTCTGGAACATGGGGTGTGTTGACAGAAGGTGGCCTCTGTATAGGAGTAATAGTAGATATGCCTAGAAAAAGAATTGGGTCAGAATGGAAACGTGTGTGTGTGTGTGTGTGTGTGTGTGTGTGTGTGTGTGAAGGGGGTAAGAATCTGGTTTTTATCCTATAGGCAACAAAGAACAGTTATCTAATGACTATTCACTGAACAATTACTATGTACAAGTACTGTGCTAGCTTTTGGGTATAAAAATGATGAACAAAATAAATATAGTTCCAACCCTCATGGAACTTGTGCTTTACATAAGCATTAAAGGAAAGGTTGAACCAAGGAGTAAAGGCTAATATGTGTAATATATGAAATGTTTTGCTCAAATTGTAAAGTTCTACACAAATGTAGGGCAAAATGATAAAAATATTTAGAACAAATATTCTGATAGAGGCATGAAAAATGAAGAGGTTGCAAGCAGAATAAAACAAAACCCATCAACTCTTATTTATTTTACAAATTTACTCAGTAATATACAATGTCCCATCAAGTGCATACCTGATACAGCAATCCTTCCTCTGCATGCTGTGCGTTCTTTACTTTCAAAATTCACATCACTGTCAGAAAAGAAAATCTTTTATAAACAAAAAGAACTGTTTGAATAAATTGTTAAGTCTTTCACAAATTCCTGAGTATCAAAATACGTACCTGTGAATAATAATGACTTCCAGTAATGTAAATTATTTGACTCAAAGTTCAAAATGTTTAGTCAAGAGTTAGCTAGGGTTGAGAAAAATATAGAGAGAAATTCTCTAATTATTGTGCACTGGTTACTTTATAATGACAGCCTTTAATTGCATTTGTAAATAAGATGTACAATATTTGCCTTGATTCTTGGAAGTGTAATACCTTTGGATCATTAGTTTATAAATTACATTCTTACTAAATACAGTGGCCTAAAAAAGTTAATGTACTTCTAGTCCTACAATGTATTGTTGAAAGGCTAAGTTTATCCTTTCAGAATCTGAAAAAACAAAAACAAAAAAATTACTCTCTGCTATATTTTTATATGCAGCTAATATGATGTTTCATTTTTCTTAAATTCCAAAAAACTAAGTACATACTAAGGCAACAATAAATGTGGGAAAGGAAGGGAGAGGCTCTGTACAGAGAATAAAATGTGGAGAGGAAAATATTACCATGGCAGTAAAAAAAGTTTCAAAGGAAATTCTGGGGATATAAGACACATGCAAATCTGATGTCAGAATACACTATCATAAAAATACTTTTAAACTAGATATCCCCTTGTTAATCAAAACAATTCCCCATCCTTGACTATTTCCCCCATATCCCATTTCCTAATAACTTAAATTTAGAGATTAGCATTATGTTTCTGAGTCAATATTTCCAAGCAAATTCTTTGTATTTTTGTTCTTATTCAATTTGGTTAGCTAATTAACCGCTAGCTAATTTAACTAGGTACTTTAAATATGTAATAGGATGGAAACTTTCCATTTGAATTCTATTTGATTTTAAGAGAGATTCTGGAGAAAGACTGAGTGAGAGTTTAAAGCGGGAAGTTATCTAACTAATAATTTTCAGAAGAGGATGACACTAACTTGCTTTCAGTAAGCTTGTTGAAAAGACTACCTATATATTCATTATGGTGCATCCAAATTTGAAAATTAATCCAGCGAGGAGTAACAAAGTAAGTATCACAAGTAAAGTATATTCCAAATGAGCTAAAATAATTTACTGACAAACTTAAGTTGACAAGCTTTTAAGGGACACTTACATGTATTTATAGAATCACATATTAGATAGGAGTAAAATGACATAGTAGATTTAAAGTCATATATTCTCAGAATCTACCTAATTACTTTATGTTCACACCTGGTATTTAGGAAATTCACTCAGTGAAAAATGTAAGTCTTCACTGATTATTTCAAAGTAATGTTTCATTAAATCACAAATTTAGATGAGTGAAGTTCAACGATAAAGTTTAATTTGTTATTTTGGAGAACATATTGCTTACTACTTTGTCATAGAGTGAAAAGTTCATCTGAATAGTTTATTACACATTTTGGTGAAATAATATACTGAAAAAAAAAACACTGGAAATCAAAGACAAACCTCAGTTTCTTCAAATTGGTAAGAAACGTTACATAAATGCAGCTGGTTGATATTTGTAAGTAGTATCTTTAAAAACACCTATTATATGAGCAATTTATAATATAAATTCTTAAAATATTTCAGTGAAAAATGCAAAGAAACTCTAAAATGGTGGGTAGCTTAAGTTTATGGAATAACTTTATGCCAAAATTGAGCTCCATTATGATTACTAAATTGGATTAAATTTGAGGTTTTGTCAGGTAAGTGCAATTCTGAAATATCAAAACCACCAAAACCAAACTTGCCAAATATTTACCAGAAGAAATTTTCTCCCTCCATACTACTCAACTACCTGGCAGAGTACAGCTTTGTACAATAATAAATTATTTGCAGAGGCATATCCAAGAACTAGAAAACTTACTACATACAAAGCTTATCAAACTATACAATACATATAACTAACTAAATAATCTTATAGACTAAGTCTAGGTTGTAAAAAATGAAAGAACTCAACCTCTTCTGAAACTTTGATTATTTTCAATTCAAATAACTCCCCAAACTGTTAGGGAACAAAAATGTGATGTTCTTCTAATTGATCTAAATTGACAATAAAATTGTTAAACATTATCTGTTTAATAATGTGCTACTGTACCTAATAGTTTGTTACAGTTAATAAATACTTGTTTGAAAATCTGCAATATTCATGCCAATTCATAATGTTACAATTAAAAGAGCCAGCCTGAAGGAAAAACACAAATAACCACAAAATTAATGAAACAATGAACAGCTAAATAACTGTGTACCTTATTAATATAAACCTAATGTAGAACATTATTTTGATATAATCCATAAGACAAACTTTTAACTTTATTACTCATATTTCTGGCTGCAGATAAATAAAATGGCCAATAGAGGGTGCAGATTTGCTACTCTGTTGCTTAAAAATCTATATTAAAATGTTCTGGGTAAATAGTGAGTCCTATTTTATGTTGTTCCATGTGGGGATTTAAAATAGCATCTCTTTGACAGAATTAGCAAATTATAATGAGAAATAGCACAATATGAGAAAGTATTTTACATTTTCTTTTTTTTTAATTGTTGTGCTGGGTGGAGATACATCGTGGCATTTACAAAAGTTCTTATGGAAGTAAGCAAAAAAGTGAAACACTGAGAAGTGTCTATTGTGGAATTTTAAGTCATCTTAAAACTTGCATAAAATTAATAGCTGCATAAATATCTTGAATTCTATTCCAAATATGATATAAGCTCTTTCCAACGGACACCAAACTATAGAAAGGCTGAGAAATAAAATCAGCAATGCCTTTAAATACATTCTAATCTACACTTTTTCTTCTTTTAATTTACAGTACATAAGCAATAAATTAGGAAACTGTAATATAAGAAACATGCATAGTAATCACACAAAGCTTACAAAGTTATTTTGGCACTATTTTAAAAGCTCACAATTATGTTGAATGACACACATAATTAAGTCCTATAAATGACTCTAATTAACATTTTTTACAAAGCCAAATAAAGCATTCCAGAATTTAAGTCAAGAAGAAATGGACTGAGTGAGGTGGGGAGGAAGAAGAGTGGATGCTGCTCCTAAAATGTCAGCTCTGTGAGTGTGGGGATTATTTACTTGAAGTACCTGATATCAAAAATATCTGTCATGTTAAGTGTACACAGATTTAATTTCCCCATTGAAAGAATTTTTAGTTTGGCTCATAGAGTAAAATTCAACTCTAGGATGAATATAAAAAATACACCTTCAGAGGTGATTCATATAAGTTAAAAATAAAGAGATGGGCTAAGATATATTAAACAATACGAACAGTTTTGAAGCAGAGGATGTGGTCTTGCTACCAGGCAAGGCAGAATTCAGTCCAAAAGTATCACTGAGAGAACAAAAGGATACTCTATAATGTTAAAGGATGCAATTAACAATGGCTATACTACAGGTACCTAAGGTACCAAATGCCATATATAGCATCTTCTGAGGCAGAAAGTACAGAGATACAAGTATGAAGACAACAAAGCCTTAATCACAAAAAAATCTTAACCTATCGCTTCCTATACAAGACATTCCAAGTGGTCAAAAAATAAGTAAGGCTATAGAAGACCTTAAAAACAGTATTTAACCAAGATCTTCTAAACAAACACTGCAAACTTTTTACCCCAATAAAAAGAGAATAGAAGCTTAGTAAGAGGTGCGGGGAAGTAAAAGCAACGGCACTAAAGTTAAAGTTGCCTAACACTGGGAAAAGGAGGCAGTGGCAATATAGTATATGCATACAGTGGAATAGTACTTATCAATGAAGAGGGAAAAATAAACATTTTATCATGTGAGCAGCCTCAAAAGTATTATGCTGAAAGAAAAAAGCCTCTCATGTATAATTCATTTATACTAAGTACTAGAACAGACAAAATTAACCTATGGTGGAAAATAAAACAGTAGCTACTTCTTGGGGTAGGGTTGGAGAAAAGGACTAGAAACTGGGAAGAAGAAAACACAATATATCCAAAAAGCACGGATTAATTCAAAGAGAAAAAAGTAAATACAAATAGAAACAAATAATCCAGTTTATGAAGCTAATAACGAACATACATAGAAAAATAATATAGCCCAGACTAGCATCGAACTCACGGACCTCTGCCTCATCCTCTTAAGTGCTGGACTTAAAGGTATGTGCCATCAAGTAAGTTTCAAACCCAGTTCCCTGCTCCAAATCCACAGGAATGCTGTATGTGTGCACATGTGTGTGTGTGTGTGTGTGTGTGTGTGTGTGTGTAAGCAAAGTGTAAAGAACTTACTTTTAATTTCATCATAAAAAGTAAGATGAATTAATGGATGGGTAGAATAATAGATATAAGATTTTAAAATAAGCAAAATAAGCAAATATAACAAAATATTAACTGTAGACTCCATGTGATAAGTATATAGATCTTCACTATACAATTCTACTATTTTGTATGTTGGAAAAACTTCACAATAATTTCTGTAGATTGAAAAAGAACTGCAAAGAAATCCTGAATCTATCTAGTAGGTTGTGTCAATAATAATGGTCTGTAACTATGAAATAATTTTACATAGTCATGGTCTAAAAATAAAATACATTATTATAACTGGGAATTAAGATTTCCAGTAAGAAAAGAGGTACAAATTTTAAATAAATCAAGAAAACAAAAGGCTAGAAATATCAATGTATATTCATGATTTACATTACTTTTATAGCTATATCCACTGAAATGGCCTAAAACCAGTAGCACCCTAGTTAATAATGATCATACCCAATACCCAGACCTTCCATTTCAAAATGTATTCACCATTAAAATAATCCAGGACTCAGAAATGGCTGAACTAAGGCCTGGAGCAGAGAAAATAAAAGGCAAACCTTAGTCTTCTTTCATGTCACAATGTAAGGAAGCTCTTAAAGACTAATAGAGGCAAAAGAACAAGCAAGCCATTTTGAAGGGACTCCCACTAAAGATATTTGGGACA